TCTTTCTTAACGATTCAAACTTTGCTTGAATTTTAATGTAATTAGATTTAAATATGCTGTTGCATTTGATTTCATGATTTTTTCACTTTTTGTGTCTAATATCAATGGGGTAGGGGGTGTTTAAATATGTTTACAACTATAAAATGATCTATACATGAACATAATCACATCTATACATTATCTATTGCCTATAGGCTACATAAAGAACAACAATGTTCTTTCTGTATACTCATCCTGTAAACTCAAAAGGCTGGGTAAAAGAATTAGTGTTATGATAATTGTGCTATATATAGCTAGCTATTAATCTAGGCTATTACTACTTCTAATAATTTGTTATCCTAGCTGGTTATCATTAAACACCAACCTTATCAACATATCCTTGAGCCAACTAACAACCATTTCCCATTTCGGCTCAAAAGTACCATAACTCAAAAAGTATGATTACCGGCACCTAATATATTACACTTTTACTTGTACCTATAAAATTTTATTCCTCATTTAGGCTACAGTAAAAAACATAAAAAGTAAGGTAAATAACAATCTTTTACTATTGGACATTCATGAATCCAACTAGTTTGTACTGTAATACTTTGATATTTAAAAAAGTGTAGGTTCTTTATTAGCCCAGGCAAAACCAAAAAGAGCTGTAGCTCCTAAAAATTGGGGGAAAGCTGGAAATCGTTTTAATCTGATCTGGAGATCCTCAATAAGTTAAAAATGTGTTCTGAAGTGTATAGGAGACAAAAATAGACAGATTTTTCTAATTTTTCAGTTTTTTGCTTATAACTAAAAAAACAGTGCTAAATTCTGCGTCCAATGACGTTAAAATCATTCAAATTGGTTCAGTCGGTCTTCAAACCACATAACCATATAACAGGTCGTCAAAGTTCAGTAATTTCAACATTCTCCTTGTCATCCTATTCTTGATTATTACAGCGTGTTCCGCCAGATGGCAGCGTATGCTATGCTTTTCGGTTAAAATTACTGAACTTTGACGACCTGTTGTAGCAGAACAACTGAATCGATTTTAACGATAGACGCGGAGTTTTATGTTCTTTAGAAAAGTATATAAACACTTTTTTAGTGGGATTTACTGTTTTTGAGTTATAAGCCAAAAACAAAAAATGAGCAAAATCGGCCTAGTTTTTTGCCTCCCATACACTTAGCTCACTTCAGAATCCGTCTCAAACTCATTTTTAACTTATTTACGATCTCCAGAGCAGATTTAAACGATTTCCAGCTTTCCCCCAAGTTTTAGGAGCTACAAGTCTAATTTGCCTGGGCTGTATGTGCTATTTCTGCTAGTTATCTTAAGTAAGTTCATTTGGCTAGTTTTTTTCTTTTTGGGCTACGTCAGAGAAATTATATTTTGTACTTGTGCCAGTCTTGAGTTTTTTATGGCTGTGTTTTTAAAAACTCTATTTTCTAATCTAAGGCCCTTTTGAAACCATTTTCATTGTTGCCGAGATCTATTGTAACTTCCTTTGTCATTTACGACCAATAAAGATTTATGATTGTGGGTTTGTTCTTAAAGCTTCTTACCAGGTATTTATTCACCACAATACAATAACTATTTTCTTTATCCTACAAACCACAACACCAATTAAGTAAAACTGGCTGTTAGCCTTGTCTTTTATTCAGTCAAGACAGTACAAATGATATTTGACCACTATTCCTGAATATCTTTTTTACTGGATCAGAATGTCAAGGAAACCCATGTCAGAAGTTGCATGGAACAGCAAGTCCAAGAGCAAGAGCTGACATCACTGACCAGTTTATGATCAGCAGAAATACCATCTGGCTGCCTACCAAGAACTGCTCTTTGGTGTTTGACATCTTATCTCTAATAAAACACATCACTAGAACTTGAAAATAAATGTGTATTTAGGCTACCTATTAAAGCAAACCTGCCAACTCCCCTGATTTCTATTAAAAATGTGTAATATGTAGGTGATCAAAAAATAATAAAATAATCATTTCATCATCTAATCATTTTATAAAGTTTTTCTTAACCGCTACACCGTAAAAATATATACAAATTAGGCCTACTACATTTTTATAGGTACTTGATTTGTCTAAATATTATTAGTTATTTATCAAAGTCGGACAAATGAAACTCGGACAACTGATTTTTTCTAATATTTTGTAATTTTTAAAAAACTCAGACAAATGATGAGATCACAAAAAAATCAACTACAGATCTTTTAGCAGCTTAAACAGTCTACAGTTCATAGTTTGATAGTTTTAGGTGGTTTTTTTCACTTAGCCTACTGTGAAGGTATTTATCACTGTAAATTTTTTTGTGGCTTTTTTTATAATATATATAATTTGTTGTACACATATCTTTGTACATTTTTCCAGATCTAAAAACAATAAATAATTTAACCAAGGGAAATAAAAATAGGCCTGCAGTCTATGGTTGATAACTGGCTTTAGTGATGTAGAGACCTAGGTTAGATAACAGACCAGTTTGGTGACACTTGAGCCCCCGACATGACCTGTCCAGTGTCCATCTGTGGGATAGTGGCAATGTTAACTTTATTGTTACACTTCTGTTTATTACAGGCATATAACTGTTCATATCCCTACTTATTAACCCTCTTTGACAACCTAGGTGCCAAATTCAAGACATGAAGCCCCAACCTCCCTCATAAAAAGATACTAAGCATCCTTTTATACTTGTAAAAGAACAAAATATGTTTGTTTTCATGAACACCAAATCACAAGAAAATATTTCAATTAGGATTCTTTGCTTTAATTCCATACTAGCAACCTGCATCACTTCCTGACTTCAAAATCCGTGATATATTTGATATATAGTTGATAAGGGTAAAAACGATTATTTCTAATCACATCCCTATTTGCATTGCGAGCCCTATTATTTTAATTGCGTGCGCGATCTCCTCTAGGTATCTTAGAGAAATTACCAATGACCAATCAAACATACTATGAAAACACAAAACATTACAATTTTTACTAAATTCCCTAATACATCAATAAAACATACTATGAAAACACAAAATCCAACGTAAGTCATTTTCTTCTTTACCTACATTTTATACAAATAGGATTACAATATTTAACTTGAATTCACTGAAACATCACCAACTACAGATAACCCGATTTTCGCATGAATGTAAAAAAAATTTACTATGGCCATCTGTTTTGATGTAAACAAATGTAAACTTAAAACAGTTCAGATGATTGACAACAGAATTCTGCACAAACTCTGAAATTTTAAAAGCCTGTAGGACGAAGGGCTTTCACGAGATATCATCCAAACCCACAAAACGCACATCTAGAGGACAAGAGCTTTAAATGATACCCAATATGCCCATAAAAATAAATATTTTGGGGTCGATTTGCTGCACACAAAAATCCAACAAATTCTTTAAATAATATAGATTTGAATCTTAAGACTATTTAGTTACACCATTTCTTTGTGTTGGTTTGATGCAGCTAACGTAATGGATTCTGGATATTTCCAAACTTACTCCTATTTCCATTATTAGGGGCATTAACAATAACTTGAAGTAAATCTGGAACGGTGATAAAATATCCTAACCTAGATGGTAAAATATTTTATCCTATGGCATAAAAAAGCAATTTGTTTGTATCAAAAGATATCCTCAGATGTTGCCGCAATATTACAGCATGAGCATGGTGTTGCTGTGATTATAATACCAGTTTTAAGGTTCTGACTCCAATTAAATTTTTTTTTACCATCCTTACTTCTCTCATTGAAAAGTGGTGTAGATTATGTTCCCTTGCAAACCCCTACCCCCCAACACCCTAGGCTGTAGCTTAAGATGAACTCTGTTTGGGTACTGTGAGTAAGGTGTTTTACAAACTTGCATGGTAATGATGTATGCATTAGTTGGCCGACTGTGGAATACTAACACTGTACTTGTACTAGCGAGGCTGCCTCATATAGGCCAAGGCTCTGACTCCAGTCGGCTATCTTTATGTCCCTTTAACACGGCTGTTAACCATATTATTTACAGTCTCTCATGACAAACCACAAGATACTGTCTTTACTCACTGATAACATACACTACATTTCCTTTGGTAGCCTTGCACTTAAAAAATACTGTCATAGTCAAACTTGAGTAAACCATAGGTACATTATTTCAGAATTTGTTCCGCTTGTCTTTTGATTTTCAGATATGTTTTACTTATACATATTGCTAGTAATGTATTAGCTTAAACTTGGTAAACTGTTTATTTAAATGATTAGCCATTACCATTGACTATTGAATACAGAAGAAGACATCCCACCTATATGGATCAGGTGTCGCAAACTTTTTTACTAAAAAAGAATGTAGTTGTGTGATCCAGTCACAGAATGCGCTAGTATCTTAAATTCCATTTTCTACCTTATTTTTTGTTACTCACATCATTGATGGGTCATAACAGTTGCTATAGCTCATAATAAGTCGTTCCATCAGTTTATTCACTTGGTAAAAACCATTGTGTATTCGACAGAAATCAGTAAATTAGATCAGCGCAATCTGTGGGTGGCTTACATCAACTAAGAGAAATTTGATTAAAAACCTGGCGACAACTTTAACATGGGGATGGAATGTTTAGTTGTATCAATAGTGAAAGCCATTACCTACTCATTTCATTTTAGGCCCTGATTTGAGTGTTTATCAGTCGGCTTATGGTGGGTTTTTCAAGTGTTTGTTCTAAAATTGAACTGGAAACATACCATAAACATAAAAATAACTTAAAAACATAAAATATCATACATACATAAACATAAAAATACAAACACAAAAATTACCTGGTAATGCAGTGTGATTCAATTTAACTCTGAATATTTATCTCCAATGTAGGCTATATGAAGTCATTTTTTACCAAAATTGTCTTGCCTTTAGTAAATGTTTTTAGTGCTACCTTACTATGAATTCTGATATACTGAGAGAGGTTTTAAAAGTACCTTTCCCTACAAGAGGGTTGTTGTCTGTCAGTCTACTAACAGTTTTCTTGTATTGCAGATGAATGTGCGAGTGACCACAATGGATGCCGAGTTGGAGTTTGCTATCCAGCAGACGACAACCGGCAAACAGCTGTTCGACCAAGTGGTCAAGACCATCGGCCTCCGTGAGGTTTGGTTCTTCGGCCTCCAGTACACAGACAGCAAGGGTGACCTTACCTGGATCAAGCTGTACAAAAAGGTTAGTTTCCAGTAACTATACCTGTGAAAATTTAACCCTCCGAGTGTCCCTTGTTTTGGCCATAATGTCTGCCTATTTTTTGCTAATTTGCAAGGTTTTATTAAAACGGATCTGAGAAGCTTAAAAACAATGTTAATTATACTGTTCTATATACCATTTTGTTTGGAAAATCATGGGCTTCAATATTATATATAAAACATAAGGAACATTTGAAAAACATTCAAAAAAAATTTTTAGGTAAAAAAAAATATTTTGGAAAAAAAAAAAAAAAATAAGTTCACGCTCAATGAAATTGTATAAGTTATAGGCCTATAAATATTTGAAAATAGCCACTTTGTTCTAAATTTTATGAGGATTACAAATATATAATCATATAGTGGGGTAATAAATAAGTTATGAGTGAAAAACAGATTTCAGTACATAGCGTTTAGCTAAGAATGCATAGCCTAACCATAGCTAGGAATCTGGCTGATAATTTACATTAATATCACTACCTACTTCTTCAGGATCATCAACCAGCCCTTCAAAATCACTTAAATCTTCTTATAATGCACCACGTATATCACTACTTTTGATTTTTAACACTAAAACAATGATAAACGTAAAACACAATGATAAACACATCAGTCATCGGTCCGAGGGTAACCTAGCTGTTTATAAATACGCACGTCAGCTGTCTGCTACAATTACGATCGGCTCGGAGAACATAAAGCGCTTAGAGACAGACCTCTGGAGAAAGCTTAGAATCTAACGAAAAGAACGATGCCTAACTCGATCCAGTTCAATCCGATTCAGTCAGTCATAGAGTCTGTTCGCCGTAAACAGTGTTTTCGAGTCGCTGCAGCGACACAAAACACTACACAAAGTGTGTTATATGTCGCTGCAGCGACAAATAACACTCGGAGGGTTAAAATTGTCTTGAGAAATTTTGGAAAGCAAAAAAAACATTTCTCCCAAAGGAAATTTTATGAGGGCAATTCATAGACAATAATTACGTTGTTATGCAACCTCCTCTAGATCCGTAATTACATAAAGACAAATGCAAAAGATAATGTTGGAGGGGTAACGTAGGGGGCTGCAACCACTGTATTCTATTTGTAAATGATTATATTGTATATAGATTTTACCAAAACTAGAGCCATCATATTTTGTACCGGTACATTGTGTTTTTCTTATTTTTATTGTAAAATATTGTGTCATCTATTAATTTGGCAATATTCAGGTCAATGTAGTAATTACAGTAGGGATTTTCTCGTGCAAAGTTGACATGTGTATTCCTAGTACACTAATAAACCGCCATCTCTAGCAGGACTTAAGTTTGTTGATAATTGTAACATGTAAGACTTTTGAAAGTGACGAGTGTGATTGCCAATTATCCAGAGTAGATGTTAATGAAGTGTGGCGTGTGAGGAGAGATGATCTGAGCAATTAGCAGAACAGTTATGCTGCTTTCTATCACATTGTAGCTGGCAGGTCAGGTCAGGTGGATGTGCCACGATGCCTTCCACTTGGTCTGGCCCACACACAATTGTCTCTCATTGGAATAGCAACACGTATACAACATACAATCAATTACACTGTGTTTGAAAAAATTGCTTAACAGTGGATTTAAACTGAAGAATGTTTGTGTTTATAAAGATTGGAAAAGTAAACTATTGTTTGAGTTTAGTCATACAAACCACTGTTGAGGTAATCTAATTGGAAAAGGAAAAAACTTAGGAATGTAGATTACTGCAGTTGAAAAGCTTCAGTGAGAGCTACAGTTGATTGTGTTTTTATTCATTCAAATTCTCAATTTTATGATAATTGTTAATCTGAAGTTTCAATTATCAAAATCTCTGTTTTGCTTACTAAAGAATACAATTTAGACTTCATTCTCTTTAGCCAGTACCATCAAAATCCCGGTTTATCCAGACAAGATTATTAAAATAACCATAGACTAATATGATGTTAAATTTTGTTTTGACAGAAATATAGGTACTATGTTTACAAAAAAAAGTCCAATAAAATTAACAATTACGAATTTGTGCAATTAAGATGCAAAAAATCAAAAATGTGAAAGCAAAGTTTGTTGCTGTAGGCCACACTTCATGTTTAAACTATTTTTGTTTGCTATCAGATGTTCTAAAAGGACTTCTGTAGAAACTGCCAATGTAAACTCTTTTTATAAAAAAAAAACCAAAACTAATTAAAGCTTTATAAAGTTGTGGTGTGTGACGAACCAAAAATATGTAGTTTGTGTTAACTAATACTGTAAATTCAAATTTACCTCCACATACAAATTGATTGCAATATGTTTATGGTACTGTTTTGTTTTTTTAATGCATTCATGATATGGTGGTTTTTGTTATTGTAAATAACATTTCATGGTTCAGATTTTTCTATCTTAATAAATTAGTCATCAACCAAAATAAAAGAAACTGCCTTTTTTCAAAGATTGTTTGCCTACTCTGTGATGAATTGGCTAATTGGCTCAGTGAGTCATTGTCGGTGGAAGCTCAGTACACTCACCTGAGTTCTGGGAGAGAGTTGAACATTCCAAGATTCCAGGAATGTGGCACAAGTTTTCTCCAATGATTTCAAACAAATTCAGTCTTGCTTTTGATTTTACAATACTCTGGGGTGATTATTTTTGGGCTTTTTGTTTTAGTGTAATTTGCCCTTGAATTAAAGATTTAGAGTAGGACAGTAGGCTATTTAATTATTATATCTGTCTCAAAATTGTACTGACAGTCTAGAATTAAAATTGTTTATCATCCTACCCTAAACCCCAAGGGGACCAAACAAACATATTAAGACCCATAATAGCTCTATTTTGTTATGAATTCATCAATAAATTCATACACATTGTCCTTCAGCTGTAAGTCTTTAATGATAAAATGATTTGTCATGTTTATCTGTCACTAAGGTGCTTTTGTGTGTGTTGCATGGCAGTAGCTAGAAGTTGGTTGTGTTGTGTACTAAAGGATTGTTTTCTCAGAGAGAGTCTTGTGTGAAAGTCATACCATCCCTCTCCACACAACATTGGCTAATTACTCTCCCTATCCCACATTCTGCTAACTACTGTAGCATACTCCTTAGTTCATTTTGTTTATCTAACACTTGTTCCCTCCGTGATTAATTATCACCCATTACAATCTGTTGAGTACCCTACTAATTGATAAGTAACATTAATTATATTCCAATCAGGTTTTATATCTCTTTTTTAATCCAGTAAAGTGATGAGTTTGATAAATGATAGTTATTCTGATTTAAGAGCTTCAAATATTTTATAAGTTGTTATTGTTAATACTATCAATAACAACTCAAGACAAATATGCAGCAATTTTATGGCTTCAAATGTTGATAGCCTTCATATTTTGATTCAACAGCTCTAAATAGTCAAGGCCATGAACATTTAACAAATCTTCCTTGCATTTGTTTTATTGTGCGATTCAGACAGTTGAAATTTGTTCGTGGCATCATTAATATGTTTAGTGAATGATTTTCAGTCCATCCCATATTTAGGTGCAGAAAGGCATAGCTCAGTTTTGAAATACGTAGGCCTACAATATAAAAAGCTGCCAGCATGTAGCATAAAAAAGCTTACAAAAGAACTACGCACTTGGTTTTCATAAAATAATGGAGGCAAAACCAATTTCAACCATTTGACGTAAGTAATGATCAACGTTTTTTTAATTCCCCTTTTAAATTAATTGTTTCTATTAGTCTAGTTGGTTTTACATTTTAATAACTTATTGGTGTGCGTTAAATAAAAGAATCAAGTTAAAACTTTAAAAGACCCCATTAAAAATGAGAAGGATGTGGGAAACGTGGTGTTTGCACTAGTCGGGTGCCGGGCTTGTTGCGTAAGCTAACCTTGTGTCTTCTTCAGCCTTGTCATGCTCAATGCTACCACTGGGAATATCTGTCAACCTTCGTCTCAGGAAGTCATTAGTCCAACACTTAACAATCAAACCTCTGACATTCAAAAACAAGTAATGGCATTTCAAAGTCTATATAAATTGTACCTATAAAAGAAAATCTAGCACAATTTAAGGTATAATTTCCTATCCAAAAATATATCATTTAGATTTTACAAATTCACATCCAGTAAATGTAGCCTATCATATATTCAAACTCCAAACAAGAGAATGAATATCGTTGGATTAGTTGCTTGCAGAAAGAAAGCCTTACAGCAGTCAGTAAGGGTGTGTTTAACATACAAGGGTGTCTTAATCCTCCTTAGAGGGGATCTTCTAGTGTTTTATTTTTCAAGTCACTACACCACTTATTATGACTTTTGTGTGATCACATTTAAATCAATGCATGCTCTATACTGTGCTTAAATCTGTTAAAAATATTACACAAAGCAACATATAGCCGGATATAATAACCAATAACAATTGTGTGAAATTTATTCTTTCTGGTCAAGTTTCAATCGGTACTCTCTGACCCTGTATGACCATCGCCTAGACTCAACCATTTACTCTGCAGCCTAAGCCCCACTATTACTGTAGTAGTTTGACTAGTACATCATCTATATAGCCTATATATAGCCTTAATGCTATATAGCCTTGACTGACATGTGATGTGATGAGCCTGTGGCAAGGTTCAAGGTGAATGAGTTTGTCAATCAGTCCTCTCTGTCGCTCTATGACTATCTCCTAGACCCAACCATCAACTCTGCAGCCTAAGCCCCACTATCACTGTAGTAGCTTGACTAGTATATCCTGTACACTGTGCTATATAGCTTTGACTGACATGTGATGTGATGAGCCTGTGGCAAGGTTCAAGGTGAATCAGTTTGTCAATCAGTTATCTCTGTCTCTCTATGACTATCTCCTAGACCTAACCATCAACTCTGCAGCCTAAGCCCCACTATCACTGTAGTAGCTTGACTAGTATATCCTGTACACTGTGCTATATAGCTTTGACTGACATGTGATGTGATGAGCCTGTGGCAAGGTTCAAGGTGAATGAGTTTGTCAATCAGTTATCTCTGTCTCTCTATGACTATC